TTTATTTGGCCTTCCGCACCCTCGCTTTTCAGACCGATGAGCTTTGTAAAAATCAACGCGTTTCCGAAAGGCGGGGCATAGAGGAGAAACAATAATGTACAGTATGTGGAAAATAATGTGTTTTTTTAACCTTAAACCACATAAACACATTTCATTACACCAAATACACCAAATAATGTTCTTTTTAGAGAAATTATATGACCCCTTTAACATACTTCACAGCTTCCAACATCCCTGATTCTGTCTGCTGTTTGAGCTGCAGGCTGGTGTTTAAACACTCCCCAATTATGTCCTCTGCCATTACAAGCAGGGTTTGAAATTAACACCCGCCAAATGCGGGTAAAAATTAGCTGCGGCGGGTAACACTGTCAAATCACTAGCCAATTTGGCGTGTTATGTTCACGCATTAATTTCTTGGGGAAGTTCATGCAAGCCAAATCTGCGCAGGTTTAGTACAAATACTGAACCCGTGAGACATCATGACATTATCGAGTATATTGCAAAAACTAAACAAAACACACCTACAGAGGCATGCAGTGGTCGAAAGAGTACTGAAAATTTGTACTTAAGTACAAGTACTGTTACATTGCTGAAATAACACTCAATTACAAGTAAAAGTACTGGTGCCAAAAAAGTACTTAAGTAAAAGTACAAAGTACTCCTCTCAAAAACTACTCAGAGTACTAGTTACTAGTTACTTTTTAGCCGGCGATATTTAATGAATTACCAAAAAATATTAATTCATATCAAAGATATATGTGGATAATAGCTACTTTGAACAAAACCCACTTTTATCTTATTGACAAAGTATGTGAATTAGTGGTCATGATACAGGAATTTCTAACTTCAATACCTTGAAAAATATAATTATCAAAGTACCCGTGAGCCGGAAGTTGCAACTGACTTCAGTGTTGTGATGTATTTCCAAGTGAAACAGAATATTAAATAAAGGGCGGGGTTTTATTGTGGTGCACCTCCAATCCAGAGGTCTTGGTCATAGCAGATTCACGGTTGGATAGTGGTTAAGAATATCTGCTTGTTACGTCTAATATCACGCTTCACCGCTTCTGGGTCCTAATGCTCTGCCTGACGCCCCCAAAAAACAACAAACTGTGCTAATATACACCCACGATGTCATGTACTACTGAAAAATTATAATCCCAACCTTTATCTCCATACTGAAATCCCAGATAGTCTTACAGTGATTCAGCTAAAATATTAGTGTCTGAGACACTGTGAGCATGGAGACTGTAGTGTGCACAGCAAATTTTTAAATGCTTAGCTTAATATGTAATATTAATTAAATAATGCTCATAAATGGCTGTTCAGATAGTATTCTCAAGTGAAATGAGTAGAGACATGGACCGGGAAACAGCAGTCCTTACGTCATGAATTAACAAGAGGATTCTCCCAAAGCCATCAAACTGACGTTATCAGAGCCAGAACGCCATTCCAGAGCGGAAGCCAATTTTCAGTTTTTGATTAAAGATTACGACGGCAGACAATTGTTTTTCCAGTGTATTGACTTGCACGGTTCAATTGTTCACCACAAGACTAGTAATGTGCACTAAAAAGTAAGTAGGGTAATTTTTGATTTCATGACAACTAATAATTGTCAATACCATTGGCAAAACTAACACATACTACTGTATACTGCCATATAGATATTTAAATGTTTTTTTTTTTTTTTGCACATCCATTTTTTCAAGGCAATCATTATTTCAAGCTTATTATTTCAATCTTTGAAATTTGTTTAATCCAAGTCTGTGCGATTGCGATTTAATATGCAATTTTTTTTTATGTTCTGTATTATTCAACAAAGACAAGCTATAAATCATTGTATAGTATGACCAACACCCTATTAGATATATTAAACATAAATGTTCTTATAGGCCAGGCCTATATGTTATGATGAAATTAGGTGATGCATGAATTGATATGAATGACATTTTTATTTAACAACTACAATCACAGTATATTGACTATATACTAATGACTAGTATAACTTCCAACCTTGTAAGCATGTAATAATTATGACAACATAAAGCACTGACAAATAAGCCTGGTGTAAACATTAATATGAAAGTCAGTAACAAATCACACAAACTAAAGTAGATTGCAGAAATATAAAAACAAATCTGTTGCTTTACCACACTACTTTAGGTAATTGACAGTCATGTAATAAAAGTCAAAGTCACTGTAATAAACATATGTTAACATGTGGACTGCACTTTTTAAACTCTGTCTGTTAACTTTAGACCAGTGGTTCTCAAACTTTTTTGGTCGCACTGTAACACCGAGTTGAAATGTTAAACAGCCCAGATGGGAAACTGTGTGGGGCTAATAATGCACGGGAGACGAGAGGATGGCGTATTTTCCCGAGTTTAATAAAACACCTCAAGCACCGACACACTCGTCCACATACATGGGGGAACGAGTGAGGGGAAAAAAAGTACACAAGCATCCAACTCAGGTCACAAACAGAAAGGAATAAAATAAAATAAAGATGTCGGTAGAGCAAGTTATCTCTTCACCTTTTTCAACACGTACAGACATATGCTATGCACATGCGCAGATGTCAATCTGCCACAAAACTACCGTAAATGCTCTAGTGGCCGTTACAGAGTCCCCCCTGGAACAAATTGGCTGTCCTCAGCCAACAGCTCTGAAAATACAGGACATAAACAACCCCATACATGAATAGTTGTAAATACTCCCCTCAAAAAGAAAACCAGTGGTACATGATGAGAAATACCAACATACATGACAGTTTTTAACTCACCAAACCACTTTGTCCTAGAATACATAAAGAAAATGTGACAAGCAAACAGAAAAGAAAACACATAGGCATTTCAAAAACCCATGGCAAAATACATTTTACAGGATAGATTTTACTTTTATAAGAAGAAAACACAACAGTGTTGGTTAACCTAAAAACAGTCAACAAAAAACAATAACGGTACAGTATATTGTTATAACATTATGGAGACTTAGAGAAATATGTACACCCCACACTACATTAACAGACTCATTTTAAATCCAACCGGTCTGTGTGGAATGGATTGGTCCACTTATTGGTCGCCCAACCTGAGGTAATCCTGGGTGCATGTCTAGGTCGCAGGTTATACCTTTGATCAACGCAATCTGATGCACACTTTTAGTAAAAGGTAAAAATCAATCTAAATTATTGGAAAAGATTAATTTCTATCACTGCTGTGAACTGACCACACAGAATATGAAGAATATCAAAAACTTTAGGAGTCAGCTGTCCACGGTTGTCCTTAAGATATCAGCACAATAACACACTCAGCAAAATATTGTCTAATTATATTTATTGATAAAATCCCAGAAAATATTGAGATATTATTTTTTGTCAATATCGCACACCCCTAGTACTGACACAAAATGATTTGCAACGGTCGCTTTGTCACACCCAGTGTAGACAGCCTCAAACTGTTGGTTTATTTCTGTTTATTTTTTATTTTTGGCTGGTAGAAGTTATGAATGGTTGGTAACTTAAAAATCTAGTAGCCAAATTGGCTGGTGAGTAAAAAAGTTAATTTCAATCCCTGATTACAAGGCCAAGCATGGTGTTTCCCTAAAGTAATTTTTCATGAAATCTGTTGGCCTTAATTGATGTATCGGTTGTGCCACAGGATGCCATTTCCTCCAAAGCAGTCAACACAGATCCGTACTGTTTGAGAATTGCATGAATAGCAGATGTCCGAACAGTCCACCTGGTGGGGCAAAGAGGCTTCAAAAAAAAAAAAAAAAGGAATGGGGTGATTTTGCTATGTCCTTAAAAATTGCCTTGAATTTCACAGACTTTTGTGGACTACGCCTAGTGTGTCTCTAATCACTGGAGTGGCAACACAGGCAGCCTGTGTAATCAAATTAACACAGTGTTTAGCACAGTGACAGTACAATGCCATTGGCTTGAACACCTTGCATTTGACCAGCAATGTTGGAAGCTCCATCATATGTTTGTCCTCTGAGTTGAGACAGAGGAAGATTTAGTCGGATCATGACATCACATGCCATATTTGCTAAAGCCTGTCCTGTTGTTACTGACATTTCAATAACATCTCACCAACTCCTCTCTTGGTTGAATCCACATATCAAAGGCAGAAGGATTCTTGTTCAGCTCCTGCAGAGTCCTTGGTCCCATTAATGATCAATGAAAACTGTACAACTGGCAAATAATTTATTTCAGAGAATATTTCTCTGACAATGGAATTGTCCATGCACATTAATATCTCATTTTGAATTTTCGGACTTGTAAAGTCCACATGTCCTTTCAACTAAGCTCAGCATCATCTTCCACTTTGTATTGCAGGAGTTGGCTTAAATTTCTACTTTCACTGTCAGCTCCTCTAAATGGCAGCCCTTTTCGTGCCAAGTACTTTGCACCATTGAATATTTTAATTAAATCTAGTCTTGCTCTTTCTTGTTGTTTTTCACTCACCTGAAAGTTGCACATCAACAGATGTGTCTCCTGAATCCTAGTCATCAGAGCTACTTTGTGACACTGACCATCTTTATGAGCATCACGTTTTTCAACTGCCTTTTTCCAGTTTCAAAAGCCATTTGAAATAAAAGCTGGATCCATTTTTGAAGCAAGCTTTGACTTGGAATTTGCAAAATACTTTGTGCAGTAAAAACAAAAGACACCCTTTAACGAAGGACAGTAATGAAGCCAAGAATATTCTCTAAACCATTTCTCCTGAAAGTGAAGAGTCTTGTTTGAAAGAATCTGAGTAGGCATAAACTTGACTTGACTTGCATGTTCTCCTATTTGTCTATCCTCTATCTAGATCTCAGGGTCCTAACACACATTATATACAGCTAAGTTGAAATATATTAATGAATTTACCCCCTTTATGAAAATTATTAAATATACATTCTGGTCACTATTTAAGGTTTAATAAGTACTACACTCTAAAAAAAAAGGTTCTTCAGCGGTTCTTTGGAGTGGTTAAGGTGCTATATAGCACCACTACCATATAAAGAACCTGTTAAGCCCCTGGATGGTTCTTCAGTGGTTCTTTTGAGTCGATGAGGTGCTATATAGCACCGTAAAACCTGTAAGCCCCTGTATAGCTCTTTAAAGGTTCTTTAGCTCTCTCTTAGTTTAGTTGGGGAAAGGGTTAAAACAACATTAAAATACAGTCTATTTCTTGAATATATATATATTTTTTGCCCCCAAGGCCCCCATAAGGAAATATTTCAGGGCCCCCACATGAGACCTTTGACCTCAGAAAAAAAGTGATTCAAAACAGCTTGTGCCATTGTAGTAAATTCATAGCAAACATATGAGAGTGGAGTAACATATCTAAAACATATCTTATTTACAGAGACCCAACAATTCTGACCATGAGCAAGCATTTCGTATTAAAATGTTTTTTGACCCGGAACTACATTTGACCAGAGCACGTAGCCAAATCCACTGGAAGGCAAGCCTGCAACCTTTAGCCAAAAAAGCGTAAACAGCTAACTTTAACTCTGCAGCTTTGATGGTAGGCAAGGAAGGAGACCAGAAGCTATTGTATGATTAAGTCATTACACTTTTGTCCATCTTTGAAACACCTCTCGGGCATGCAAGTTCAGCGCCTATCTCTTTGAATGGGGAAACATCAAATTCTCTAAAATTGTCTGCCAAGTTTACGATTAAATTTCATATTTGAAATCACCAATGACAATCACTCATAGGATAGGTTCTATCCAGCAGGGCATAGCCCATAGAGATTAGGATTTTTTATTTTTTTTTAAATGACAAGTATAATTAATTTAAATTTGCACTTACAAATTGCATAAATAATATTATGAGAATATTTTTAAATATAAAATTTAGAACACGGAAATATGACTGATACTTTTAAAAATGAGACCAAAATTACCAGTAGGTGGCAGCAAGCCACTGTCTTAATGACTGAGTCGTTGAGTCCTTTATTCAGTCGAGTCCTTCAAAACGGCTGATTCATTCAGAAACGAAGTAAGAAACTTATTTTTATGAATGGGTCAGTGAATCAATGATTCAAGGCATTCAAAAAAGTCAAATTCATTCAGTAACAGAACTGCAGTGAGACGCACAACATGACTTTGGAACCATTTTTACTAGAGCAAAAATACATTTTTTTCTCTACGATTTAAATCACTTATTAACTTCTTGTTTATTGAATTATGTTGCCCTGACTCAGTGAAGTCTGCCAGACAATGCTAACCAATTTGTTCATTCTAATTGCATGTGTGACATAGAAACTGCTATACAGTAACAATAGTCTAATGTTGACAGTTGCTGAGATCGGTATTATGAATTAATAGGCTACAGTAAGTTACAGTTGCCCGAAGCAGTTGCATTTTCTGTTTAAGTGCTGGTTTAATTGAATTATAATGCTCATGAAAACTCAACTCGACACCGATCGGTCTGCGCAGCGCTGCTTCAAGTACTTTGGTGGTAGGCAAGGAAGGAGACCAGAAGCTATTGTATGATTAAGTCATTACACTTTTGTCCATCTTTGAAACACCTCTCGGGCATGCAAGTTCAGCGCCTATCTCTTTGAATGGGGAAACATCAAATTCTCTAAAATTGTCTGCCAAGTTTACGATTAAATTTCATATTTGAAATCACCAATGACAATCACTCATAGGATAGGTTCTATCCAGCAGGGCATAGCCCAGAGAGATTAGGAAATTTTTTTTTTTTTTTTTAAGTGACAAGTATAATTAATTTAAATTTGCACTTACAAATTGCATAAATAATATTATGAGAATATTTTTAAATATAAAATTTAGAACACGGAAATATGACTGATACTTTTAAAAATGAGAACAACATTACCAGTAGGTGGCAGCAAGCCACTGTCTTAATGACGGAGTTGTTGAGTCCTTTATTCAGTCGAGTCCTTCAAAACGGCTGATTCATTCAGAAACGAAGTAAGAAACTTATTTTTATGAATGGGTCAGTAAATCAATGATTCAAGGCATTCAAAAAAGGCAAATTCATTCAGTAGTTTTACTAGAGCAAAAAGACATTGTTTTCTCTACGATTTAAATCACTTATTAACTTCTTGTTTATTGAATTATGTTGCCCTGACTCAGTGAAGTCTGCCACAGACACTGCTAAATGCTAACCAATCTGTTCATTCTTAATGCATGAGTGTCATAGAAAGTATGGACAAATCAGCCGAGGCTGTTTGAGCCACCACAGGCCCACATACATGAGGCATATTAGCAGAAACTGACCTTGAAATGCCTAGTGGAGGTTGCCCTCGAACAAACGGTGTAGAAGCACCCAAGGGGTTAGACTGTGGTCTTGGCTCAACAGGAACCGTCCCATCATCAGGACTCATACAATCAATCATACTCTTTTGCAGGTCCAGCGAGTCACGGAGACACCGCTGCAGTACAGCAACCTCATCCCGCAGGAGCTGCACCTGAGACCATATGTCTCCATCCCCACTAGGGGATGTACCCTGTCTTGGCAAATAGTCAGGACATGTCAGTAAGTCAAACAGTTCACGATTTGTGGCCATCTTATACACCCTGAAATATAATAGCAAATTTCAGAAATATCAAAAGAAAAGTAAAACAAAATATTACATGCAGATGCACACAATTTACAATAGGCTAACTACAAAATAAGAAGAATAAACAGTACAATGAACCTGCTTGTTCCCTTTAGAAATATGCGTGCTTTCGTGCAGCCTGTATGCTAAAGCACAACAATTTACTTACCTCAGAGAATGTGCACAAAAACAAATGCAACCTGAAATAAAGTCGGGTTTTTTTTTTTTTTTCCCAGTCTTGCAGTACAGCAACCTCGTCCCGCAGGAGCTGCACCTGAGACCGTATGTCTCCATCCCCACTCGGGGATGTACCCTGTCTTGGCAAATAGTCAGAACATGTCAGTAAGTCAAACAGTTCACGATTTGTGGCCATCTTATACACCCTGTAATATAATAGCAAATTTCAGAAATATCAAAAGAAAAGTAAAACAAAATATTACATGCAGATGCACACAATTTACAATGGGTTAACTACAAAATAAGAATAATAAACAGTACAATGAACCTGCTTGTTCCCTTTAGAAATATGCGTGCTTTCGTGCAGCCTGTATGCTAAAGCACAATAAACAATTTACCTCAGACAATGTGCACAAAAACAAATGCAACCTGAAATAAAGTTTTTTTTTTTTTTTTCTCCCAGTCTTCCAGAATCAGTGTTCCTTGTTGCACGTGTCAGGCCACATGAAGTGAGTGAAAACGTGACTGCAACCAATAATATATTATATCGTTACTTCAAAAATGTCCAATCCGGCAAAAAACAAAATAAATATCCGTTTGTCCTCCAAAGAGAAAAAAAAATGTAAAATCTTCCAAGTGTCCCTTTTTTCTTTGTCTTCTTCCAAGTCTTCAAAGAACAGCAGAAAATCCACAGAACGCCATCAAACGTCCTTTTTCCCGGGATCCACGCGGCCTACTCTCTAACCTGCCAGCGGTCTTTCCTGGATAAAGTTACCCCGCCGTACCACGAAGACGTCCATCGATAATCAATAGCCGCCAGGAGAGATGAGTAAAAGAGATAACTTTGGTAGATCCACACTGTTCGGGCACCACTTTGTAACACCGAGTTGAAATGTTAAACAGCCGAGATGGGAAACTGTGGGGCTGATAATGCACGGGAGATGAGAGGATGGCGTATTTTCCCGAGTTTAATAAAACACCTCAAGCACCGACACACTTGTCCACATACATGGGGGAACGAGTGAGGGAAAAAAGTACACAAGCATCCAACTCAGGTCACAAACAGAAAGGAATAAAATAAAATAAAGATGTCGGTAGAGCAAGTTATCTCTTCACCTTTTCAACTCGTACAGACACACGCACACGCACATGCGCAGATGTCATCTGCCACAAAACTACCGTAAATGTTCTAGTGGCCGTTACAGCACCCCGCCCCCCTTTAAACCTACCAAATAATTTCACTAAACATTATGAAAAATTAATGTTTTTTTAATTTAAAAAACCTACAGGGAAAAATCACATCTATAACAGAGAACATTAATAACAGTCATATAAATCAGTGAGTAGAACACATTATAATCAATGACGCTGTCTACACTAGATGCGGCACGGCGCGACACGACAAAACCCGACATTAAACTGATGCCTTGTTCTATTTATGACGTACTGACACAAAGTTAAAATGATTTGCAACGGGGTCCCTTTGTCGCGTCCAGTGTAGAGCTGTTGCAGCGCGATGCGACAACTGTAGCGTCTGGTATAGACACGGTGAGTGAAGCCGAGAGCAAGATATGCCTCGTCATATTTTCTGCATTCAGCTTTTGAATGACCAGCACCTGCCTGGGTCTGTGCGACTTCATCTATGGCTTTTCTCTTCCCTTTCACAAACCGATCCATCTCCCATTCTAAGTTACATCCTTTGGCTGTTTACTGTTTTATTTCTGTTCTTTTTCTGCTGATGGCCCGCGCTTGACTTGAAGCAGCGCTGCTTAGGTGTGTGTAATCAAAGTACTGCGAGAGCTATAAGAGAGCGGATGTCTCCTTATGCTTTCTCTCGCCGTACTTTGATGTCATGCAATTGCAGAGCTCTTTAATAGTAATTGTTACTAGTGATAATTAAATTAGAGAGCTCTCTAATGCAATTGCAGAGCTCTCCAATCATAATTGTTACTAGTGTAGGAAACTTTTTCCTCGTCGAAGCAGAAACCAGGAGACTCTTGGGTATCTTCAGCAGAGTTCTTTATTGAGAACGCGCTGCGTGGTGCTGCAGTCATCAACCAGGAGACTCTTGAGTATCTTCAGCAGAGTACTTTATTGAGAACACGCTGCGTGGAGCTGCAGTCATCAAAAGTCTGACTAAGGCAGTGATACATTGTAGTTTATATACATTTTAATGGGGAGGGATACATTCAGTAGAGGTGGAGACAATCTAACCCATAGCATGCAAATTAAGTACAGGCAATCAGCCAAATCACCGGCATTTTCCCAGCCTTGATCTCATCAGCATAACAGTGTCATTCAAATGCATAGGTGCTAATCCAATCAGTCTGACAGTCCTAATTCAATCAGTATAACTACTCAAAGACTGGGGCAGAGGCACCAAGAGCCATTACAAACAAAAGGTGATATTCTCAGTAATCTGGTTCATTTGACTAACAATAAGAGAACAGTAACAGACAGGAACCTCTTGCTACACTTTGCTTAAAGATAAATCATTTGTCAGATGTAATTTACCTTAAATGCTAAATACAATGTACTTCACCTTAGTTTTTCATGTAATGCTATGTCTGAACATAGGATCAGCATATTTTAAACAGATTCTTAAATTTGTAATCCCACACTAGTAATAATTGAATTATAGAGCTCTCTAATCATAATTGTTACTAGTAAGAATTTAATTATAGAGCTCTCTAACTGAATTCTTACTAGTAAAAATGCAATTACGACGAGTATCGCTGGGAACAATTTAAGCTAAGACTGCTTGCCATAATCGATCTTCAAGTCGAACACACCTCTTTACTCTCGCGTGTCACGTGACCGAGTGTAATCGCAGCGATATTATCGGAAATGCAATTAATCGTTCAGCCCTATTTCAAACTGAATTGAATTAGCAAAAAAAGACAAGTACACATTCAATAATAAAATAATAAAACAAATGACCTCAATTCAGTTGAGGTATTTTAAATACGACAACACTGAATTATTATAAGCAGTGATTTAAGAGCCATATACTGTATGTTAGACCTATTTATTTAGATAAATGGAACATCAGATGGCTTTGACCCTAATGTCTGTACAATGTAGTGATACAGTTGGACAGGCTAGGATATTTATATGTACAAATCAGACAAATATCCCATTCCAAAACATTTCTAGCATAAACTTACATTGTAAAGATATTAAAGTTCCATCTTTGATTGTTGAAAGACTTTCCGGTGCATTTCACTTACAGCCAATAAAATTTATAGTAGGATTTTCATCGATCAGGCGTGGATCTATTCTGAATGGTTGATAACTTTTGACAAAGTTTAATCCATGAGCAAAGAGAAATAATTTCTACTTTAAGCACGGAGAGATCGCGATTGCACACAGTCTGTTCATGCAGTGTGTAACACAGCTCTAAGTGAATGAAAACATCCTGCAAAGTTTTAAATCTGAAAGTGCACCGTGTATAAAGTTATTGTCTCTCTAAAGAAAGAGTTGACTTTGAATCATTGAAACAAATCGTTTTTAAAACGAATCCCAAGCGTTTCATATTGACGTCAACATGAAGCATTAGCATATTGCCTGCCCACTTGTTGGTCTTTTCGTGTTGGTTGAATGTAAATGCAAATTCATTGCCACTAGGTGCCACGCTTTTGGAGCATATGGAAAAATAGCTGTTTCCCCGGTAACGCTTTACACAGCAGCACTGCACAAAAGCTGCTTTATCAGGCATTACAGGCGTGATGAAATGAAAATGAGACCAATCGGACCAATCACCGCAGATTAGCGTCACGCAAAAGAGGGGTTTGGAAAAATGAATAGTTGAGCGAATCGTTTGGGAGTCGTTGAGCAAGTAAGTTAAAAATAAATGCATATTATAAGACAATGAAAGTGTTTTTTGACCTTGCATGCATGTCAACCTGTTGTTGGGGACTCCCAAAACCAAAATATGAACCTTTCATTACCCATAATAGGGGCATCCTATTAGTTTTCTTTATTTTAGAAAAACACAACGTTTTCTTGATATTGTGAATGCACACAAATAAAAACAGACCCTTTACAGTTATGAATGATGTATTATACTTACCTTTATGAGCAACAATTACAGCTTATTTAATTTGTTTCCACTGATGTCCTGAAGCGCGCTTCAGCTTCCACTCTCGACACAAACCATTGGATATGCGCCTAATAGCGCACATTTATCTAGGTTAAATGTTTAAACTAACATTTTGATATGCTTTAAGTATTTTATATCTATAGATTTTATTTTCGGCAAGTCGTAATTACAACATCGTATGACATTGTCTCATTTGATGCTCATAAGTTTCTTCATATTGCATTAGTAGGCAGCCAACTGTAGGCTATCTGATAACACCAAATCAGTAAAAGAATAAAAATTGCACTACAAAAGATCTCCATGATTAGCCTGTTTTTGCACTTCCTGATAGGGTGAAAACATAAGTTAAGATAAAGGAACAATACTGACATGTTCTCATCATTGCCTAGTAATAGTTACAGCCATTATAGAAACAAATAGAGAGTCTGCGCTTTTCTTGTGTTCCACAGAAAAAAGAAAAAAAAAATCATGTGAGTTTGGAACAAGATAATATACCTTTTTTTGTTAAAAGGGCAAGACTGGATCTGCCTGAGAAGGCATTGCATGTTTTATGTGCGTCTGAAGTGACTCACAAGACATTTAATCTGCTTATATACTGGATGTCCTGCAATGTAATACCTTCATAATAATGATTCCAAAGAAAGCATTAATAAAGAAAGGGAGATAAAAGAAATGGAACCTGACAACTTTAATGTGCTTCCACAAATACGGTACAAAATAGGGCCTGAAACACTTTCCTTTGCCGGATTTGACAAATGGTCAATGAAACTGTCACGGTGCAGGGTGCCTTCTCGGCTTCCCCTGCGGTCTGTGTTGTCCTGTCATGTTCGGTAGCTCGTGGTCTGGGCAATCAGCGCTGATCTCGCAGCGGGGGTTCGCGGATCACGAGCTGACTCTCCCCCACCTGTCGCTCATTCCCCCACTCCCTTATATGTCTCTGCCTGTCTGTCCTTCGTCGTGAGTAGATTGTTTTGTCCTTGCTCGTGTTTTGTGTAACTTATGAGTGCAAGCATCAGTGTCTGACCCTCTGTTCTCCTGTGCTTAAGGACTCGTAGTACGGAGATCCAGCAGCTCGAGTGGTCCGCAGTGTCTGCCGGCCAGCTCTCGAATCTCTGCTCACCTGAGCAGCAATTAACTATTGTTTATGTTATTTTGTGTTTTGTGGCGAGAATAAAGAATCTCCTTTCTCACAACTCTGCATCTGAGTCCTCTATCTATCCTAGACCCTGACAATCAGGCATTACAGGCTCATGATGAAATGAATATGAGACCAATCGGACTAATCCCCGCAGATTAGAGTCAAGCAAAGGAGGGGTTTGGAAAAATGAATAGTTGAGCGAATCGTTTGGGAGTCGTTGAGCAAGTAAGTTAAAAATAAATGCATATTATAAGACAATGAACGTGTTTTTTGACCTTGCATGCTATTGGGGAATCCCAAAACCAAAATATGTACCTTTCATTACCCATAATAGGGGCATCCTATTAGTTTTCTTTATTTTAGAACAACACAACGTTTTCTTGATATTGTGAGTGCACAAATAAAAACGGACCCTTTACAGTTACGAATGATGTATTATTCAGTAAAAGAATAAAAATTGCACTACAAAAGATCTCCATGATTAGCCTGTTTTTGCACTTCCTGTTTTTTCCCTGCTTGAGAATTTCTGTCCAATGAATGGATGACCTTAGCACGTCATCTTTTTTGTCACATTGTATTGAAAGCCCCCATTTGTTAAAATTTAATTACCCCAATAGGTTGATGCAGGAGAAGACGAACGAAGCATCAGGGAACATCTGCGAATAATAAAGGAGGAAACGGAGAAGCTTCGACGAAACATAGAGCTTCTCAAAGAAAGGATGGCACTGATAAAATGCTACCGGAGAAATTTTGTGTCCCAACACTGCACAGAGGAGATTCTCATCTGAGTTTCCGTGTTTCAGACTGGCCAAAATGGTATGTACAGTAGTATGTCAATTTCCAACTTAATTATTACTGTTTTATTACATGCCATTTTATTTTTTGCCTTCATCTTAACATAAGCTCCTTTGGGATCTGAGAGACCACACCAATGTTGACGTGGACCAACAAATTCTCACAAAGCTGTCTGTAATGGAACCTCAAATCCTTCAAGTTTCACGGAGTCCCCTGAAGGAGAAGTTCAGGCGCATAATTGATGACCATGAAGATGGCAGAGTGAAAAAAGGCAATTAAATCACCACTGCTTAGATGACACACTAGCTATCTGCCTGAGATCGTAACTGTCTTACACAGTAATGAATGTTTAAAAAACAAAAATAAAAGTATTGGGTAAAAGTATCCACCATGTTATGTCAACCTAATGATGTTATTTTGTTTAAAGGCCTACAGTTGGAAGCATCAATTCTGCTCTTGCCAGCTCTTTTCAAGGAGGACCCGGGGTTACTATTTTGAAGTTGAGGTGAGCAATGAATAGTTGACTACAGCAGAGTCCTGCATGCGGGTACCTGATGGGTGAACTGCTAAAATTGATTTAACAGGTGGAATAAAAAATTTTATATGTTGGGTGTGGTGCGGGTCAGACGGGTGACAGGCATGGGTGTTTGCTGATAGGCAGCTGCTTTCAAATGGCCCTGTGCTTGTGTTCACGCTTTCTGAAGACCATTTAAAGGCACTTTCACACAGGACGTGGCAAGCGGTGAAATCGCAGGGCGGTCATGGTCGGGTGTTGCCATAGTTGCAAACAACAAGGTCAAATTTGATTTACTAAAACCTAAATGAACAAAACGTCTCAGTTAAAATAAAAGTTTTAATGAGTTTATCTACCTCATGTGGACGATTTAAGGCAGGAGTGGTTGGGGTCGCGGTTTTCATGTCAAACAGGTCGGGTGGAATTAAATTAGTTTAATTAAATTAATTAAATTAGTGTTGCTGTTACAATGTTTCTGCTACATTCATTCTACTGTGGTGGGCCGCCACACCAAAAATCATCCCTGCAATGGATGCAGCTTCTCAGTGACAACATAGTGATGCTGCTTACATCATTCACAGTTGGGTAATTATTAGCGGAGAACACAGAGCAGGACTTGTATATACATAATTCTACTCATTCCTGCAGGTTCCG